ATTTATTTAAAAAATACTTGCGATGTACTGTATTGTACACTACACTAATTTTTAACTTTTATTTGATTTCTGTGATAATACTTTCTAGTTATTAAATTTAAATTTCAATTTACGTAAAACGTAATCCAGAAATATTTCGATCTTATTAAATGCCTACTGCATTTTACGCTCATAGAATTATATATCCCCTTCCTCTGGCCCGTTTAATACTTATTTGTAAGGGTTATTCGTAGACCATAATTCTTTAGGACTTTTTCTTGGGGTTCAACCTGTGGGAGGAGATCATCATTCACTCATTCAAAGCTAGAATTTTGTCGGTTTTAAGATTAAAAAGAAAAAAAAACTATGATATCTAAAGTCGTTAATTACTGGATAGTGTAGAGTAAATTAGTACAAATTACTGTGTAACTTTTATACTTGTAATTTAAGAAAATAAACGAATTGTATTTTATAACACAGTTTAGCTTGTTTTATTAATTCTAAAATACAGTACAATATTTATTAATAAAATATATTAGATTTTATATAGTAATTTGGTATAAACAAACAGTAAAATTTTTTATATTCAAATTTGTATTTTTGTCAGAAAAAACAGCGAGACCATTGTTAAAAATTCGTTGCTCAGTAATGTATACATATGTATGTTTTTTCAGGATAACTGGATTTTATTGTGGTGCAGCTTGTTCAATCTATTCACAATTGCAATTGTTCCAGCATCTAATTTTTACTATATTTAGCAATACCGAATGCCTTCTTGCTAATATTCCATATTACATTTTTAGTAGATTAAATAAGGTTTATGGCATATTTATTCTTTCTTAGAAAAACAATATAAATTTAGAGTATTTTAGAAAATTATTTAAATATTTCAATTTTAAAACTTCATGAAGTTGTGAACATTTCTGGTAAAAAAATAGCATTAAGTACAATGTTATTGTATGAATTATCAAATGGAAATATTTAGAGTTAAAATTTCTGTTTTAATCAAATGTAATAATTTCGAGCAATATAAGGAATGTCCTCCCTAACAAAGATTTTTATAATTATTTTGCAAATTAAATATTTATGTATTGTAGTGCTAGAGTACAGACCATTTGTCTCTGGACTAAGTAATTTAATACAAGAAGCATTGTTCTCATGAATTAATATTCCATACCATAATAGTTTCCCTTGGCATCTATGATGATAAATTTTTCGGTGCAGTGCATATTACTTCTTCCATTATTTATAGCATTTCTGGATTTCACGATAACTAAATACAGTTGAGCAGAAGTAGATTTTTTTTACTTAGGCTTTTATTTATTATCGCCCATAATTGCAATACTGTTATTGTTTACGCCTTATTATTTTATTTCGTTCATTTATTTACTTAAGTTACAATTATGATTTGAACAATTATAAATATCTGCTTTATTATAATTTCTTTTGTAAATTTTCATCATACAAAAATTTTTATTATTTGTATATTTGTTACACGGGTTTTTAGTTTTAAAATCATTTTGATTATGCTAATTTTTATTGACAGTAGGTTAAATACATTTCGATAGCAAGACTAATATAAATATGTGAGTTTTTTGAAAATTTATCATGAATATTGAGAAAATCTCTCTTAAACATTTTCTTTATTTTGTATTTTTTATACTGTGTTTGTCCTTCACTTATTTCTAAACTATAAGAAAACATTACACACAACTTTAATTTATGAGAGTACACAATGACAGTTTTGCACTTTCGGTTCTATGAATAATAGAGGAACATATAATAATTATTCCTGTAATTGGAAGTACAAAAAGAACTTTAAAAAATTAAAGTATTTGTAAAGATGTAATTCAGTGATAAACAATATGATATACAGTAATACCTCGACTTACGCTATCCCAACTTACGCGAACCCGGAGTTACGCGATTTTCAAATCTCGTCGATTCGTCTTTTGTTTGAGCGCCACGAAGCTTTCGATTACTCACTTCCCCCACACTATTGTTCGGCTTAAATGTTCGGACGTGTCGCACGGAATCGACATATAGCTACAATTTATTTTGTGTTATTTATTTCTGTGTTTGTTATATCTGCGGAGACTCGAGAGACTCTACTATGTTATCTGAACGAAGTAGAACTGATTCTTCTGCATCAAACAAAGAAAGAAAAACTTTATCTTTGTAATGTAAGGTTAACATTATTAAAGACTTCGATACAAAAATGAAAATTTGTGAATTGGCAAAGAAGTTTGATCTATCGGAATCGACGATCAGAACAACTATAAAAGGTAAAGAAAACATTCTCGAAGCTGTAAAAAATGCGCATTCTTTAAATTCAAGCATCATTCGTAAACGTCACGGTATTATCCCTGAGATGAAAACGATGTTAAAATTATGGTGTGATAATCAAGTAAATGTGGAAAATTGTGTAATAATATAATTTGTTAGACATGTATTATCTAAGATTTTATTAAACATTTTTTTCTAAATTATTGT